CCTATTGAAAACCTGATTGTTAATGACTGTTTTGAACTGGAAAATGATTGCAAGGGGGAAGTTATCCTCCAAATATGAAAGAACCATGGCTAGAAAAGCCAAGAGGTGGCCTGCAGTGTGATTAACTACTTTTGTGTGTGGCCTTTCTAGTCATGGTCTTGTAACTCCCACCCAGGTGATTGTGTGATAGTGTAATTGTGGCCTACCAAGGCGATTGGTCAGTTTTGCATCGAGAGAGCCAATTTCAGAGAGAGAGGAGCCCACAACCACCAAGGAAGGAGAGACCAACAGTAGAGACCCAGCAGCAGAGACCTGGCAGCAGAAGTTGGCACAGTGGGCTTCTCAGCCCGCAGAAGAAAAAGCTGAGTGCCTTTAGGCAGAGATTGAGGGCCAGGGGGAGGTGTGTTTGCAAGCATGGCTGGGAAGAGGCTATCCTGATGGAAGAAACTGTATCTTGAGTGTTCCTGAGCCTGAATGGTAATTGTTACCTCCCTTATAATAAATCCGTAATCATGAGTATGGTCTGAGTTCTGTGTGGCCATTGCAAACAATTATCGAACCCAGCAGAGAAGAAAAGAGAGCTGTGAGAGGGGCAGTTGGTGTCAAAATTAGGAAAGATAGCGGAGAGAGGAGGCTTGTCTGGCCGCCACCTAATGGGAGTCAGCCTTGCGCTGTTGATCTTGGTTCTCTGTACCCCTTGTGGGGTTGGAGGAGGTCAGACACTGCCCCCAAGCTGGTTTTACAATTTCCCACTTAACAAAGACAGCAACCTGTCAAAGGCGGAAAAACAAGGCAGTCCCGTAGAGTTCTGGCTTTCGAAGGTTTTCGTGTATATGCTTCTAATTCCAGCAAGTTCATAAAACATGTGAATTACCACAGCATATATGCAGTTAGTGTGCCACAAGAGATGATTTTAATTTAAAGAAAATTGAACAAGCAAAAATTTTCATTTCCGACTACCTTCATATTAATAACAACAAAATGTTACATTAAAGAAGAGCAACGTAAAAGACAGTGAAGTGTGATTGATTAGCTACAGTTGAAAAGGGCTCCCTCAGATATGGAGTTCCCAGCTTCCAGACTTCACCACGATCATGTGTGGCCAGTGCAAAAGAAAGGCCTGAGCGGGTAACTGGAGGAGCAAGCCGGGTACTTCCATATCAGGGAACTTTTGGCAACATTAACAAAACTCACACTTCCACTGTCAAAATCAACATACACACCAACTCGCCCCAGAGGTTTCTCTATATACTGAGGAAGCACTGGGGAGGTGGTCAAGAGATTATAACAATTATCGTCCTTCACACACAGAAGAAGAAATAGGTTGTCAGACTCGACCAGTGAGCCGTTCTTCCTTAACCAGGTATCCTTACAGACCCCTACAGCCCAGTCCCAAGAGTCGTTCACATCTATCTCCCAGTAGTGTTTTCCAGAGGTGAAGGCCTGGGATCCCCATGAAGCAAAGTAGTTGGATCTTCCAGAAGGAAAAGACGCCTCTTGAAGGTCATGTCTAAGCCTCAAACTTCTCACATCATCGAACAGCATGATGTTCTGACTGCTTACTTCATAACTGAAGGAAATTTCCACTGTGGAAAAAAGAGAATATTTCAGTCCAAATTAGTTGTTAAATTCCT